CCATGGCAGGGCTAGCCCCCGCAGGTCCGATCCAAGCCGCGGGGGGAGAGTGGGAGAGCGGGGGGATCCGGATGCCTTTCAGGCATCCCGGGCTTGTATCCCACCCCCCGCTGGTTACCCAAGGCTGGGTAACCAGCGGCGGGGGGGGGCGGGCGCTGGGGGAAAATGGTGCCTATGGGGAAAACATCGCAAAGCGATTTTTCCCCATAGGCACCTTCGTTATACGATCGCAAAAGTGATGGCATTTTTGCCATCGCTATGCGAATTCGTCATTAAACGGGGCACTCGTTATACGAGGCACCACTGTATACAAAATAGTATTGGAATTGTCAAATCAGTTATCTGGTTTTTGTGCCAGTCTTCTCAAAGAGATACTACAAAAATGTAGTAAAAAAAGTCCAGATGTGACCCACCATTGGTGTACTCTGATTGTGTGAGACAAATGGACAGAATATCAATCATAGTATTGGAATTGTCAAATCAGTTATCTGGTTTTTGTGCCAGTCTTCTCAAAGAGATACTACAAAAATGTAGTAAAAAAAGTCCAGATGTGACCCACCATTGGTGTACTCTGATTGTGTGAGACAAATGGACAGAATATCAATCTTGTTCAATGTTGTAAAAACCTTAAAATTATAATTCAACTAATACAAGGCATGAGAGACAATCTTAAACACTGATGAAATTTATTCTTTAGCAGAGGAAGTAGCTGGTGACCTTGGAAAAGAAATAAAGAAAACAAGCAGTCTTCAAATACAGTGGTGCCCTGCAAGACTATGTTAATTCATTCCGCAAAAATTGCTGTTTTGTGAAAACATCATCTTGCAAAATGCGGTTCCCCATGGGAATGCACTGAAATCCATTTAATGTGTTCCAATGGGGAAAAATCGTCGTCGTTTTGCGAAAATCGCCCACAGGAAAACTGTTTTGTGAAGCGCAGATTAGCTGTCAAAATCGCCGTCTTCCGAAAAACGGTCCTGAAAAAAAAGTCTTGCGAAGCATGGACCAAAACATCATCCTGCAAAAATTGCCATAGGAAACACTGTTTTGCGAAGCGCTATAGCGATCGCAAAAACTCATCGACTAGTGAATAAACTGTTTTGCGAGGAAATTGTCTAGCGGGGCACCACTGTAGAACAGAAGAACACATCTCCTGAGAGCTCAAAAGAATACTGTAAAATCAGTTTTTTATCTCCCATTCTTGGACCACTTCATATCAGAACTGAACCTTTAGTTTTCTGATCTCTATATATACACTGCAAAATGACAACTTCTGTTTCCAAGAAAATTGTAAAAGTCTGAGTACATAGAATGGTGTTTTAAAAATGAATGATGGACTGGGGAAACATTTATTTGAAGGTGAATCAGAAATGTGGAAAAATACAATTTCTAAAGACAAGAGGCCAGGGGCTGTATGAGAAGCAATAGAAAACTGCAACCAACTTTTTAATCCCAGTATCTGCAAATTGTTGGTGATCCTAGCTACTCTGCCAGTTTCAACCAGCATGGTCTCCATTTTCAGGACACTTGACTGACAGGGTTTGGTCTCTTAAGCATGCACTGCATTGTTAAAATAAAACTGATGATGTGATTTCCTGCTTTGCAGCAAGTGGGGGTGGGGAGCCCAGTCTATTTTGTGATTTTTTTTAAAAAAAGTAATAACTGGAATTAATTTAATATTTTTAAATAATACTGTAATAAATATAAATTAAAAATAGGTTTGTAGATGATAGACTAAAGGCATATTTTCCTACATAATGACTATTTAAATCATGGTAACCTCAGTGTACTGAAAGCTCAACCTTCCCTATGATATAAGGGGCCACAGAGATAGCCGCACAGGTTGCCTCAGGGTCTCTGGAGTGCCCAAAATGTCTTCCTAGCCAAGGCCCCCGCTCCAACTCTCTTGAGTCCTAGCAATGCTCCCAGGCCCACAAACCTTCACAATTCAGCCTCCCTCATGAAGCTCCTCTAATGAATAAACACAGGGTTCACGTCTGGTTAGGTGAAGCCTGCCTGCCCTCTTGAAATGACGGCATTAGGCCTCAGTGAATGGGCACCACTTGTTGGCATTTAAACACAGCACGGGGCGTCTCACAATCTATTTGGGATTATAAAGCATTTGGGACTCCAAAAAGGGCCCTGCTATTTGGGGCATTACAGGACAGTAGTTGCTGCTTTTAATGATATTTCTGCAATGCCCCTCACACTACATTATTTCAGGGGGGAAAAACAGTTCATCACAGAGCAGAGAGAGAGGAAAAACAATTTCTGTTAAAATGAAATTTCCCTGGCTACCTTGCTGCTTGCCTAGCAGCTGTTCCCTGCTGAAATCCAATATGCACCATGACTCCGGTCCTGTATCCATGGCAGCTTACACAAGAGTCTCTGTTACACCTGCAGCTCCGTGCGGTTCTTTGCGATTGGTGGACTTTAGACCTTGATCCAACAGAGAACCACAAGAGCTGCACCATTGTCAAAAGACGGAAGAGAGAGAGAGAGAGTTTAAAAAATGGTGAATGTGTTTGTCTGTCTTTCCACATAGGGTGGAGGGAAGAATATTTCTCATATTACAGAGCAAAGCTTCCTTTAACATTTCCTTATTTTATTTTTGTGTATTTCAGGCAAAATTTCTCTCCCAGGATCAAATCAATGGTATGTAACTTTTCAATATTTTAAATAAGCAAACTGACCATTAACTGCTGTTATTCACTCATCTTCTCAGTACGTCTGCCCTTCTTTTTATTGGGAGAAGTTCTCAAGTGCTTCTGAGATAGTAGTTACTGTCCCAGTCAGGTCTATTCCTGCTCCAGTTTTCCAAATATTTAACAGGTACGTGCTTTCTACCCTTCCACGCATATTGCAAAACCAAGGGCTTTCTAATACCTCTGAATTGATGTTAACACCACAGAGAGTTATAGATATGCAATTGCTTCATTCCTGTTGTTTTTTCCTCATAATTCCTTCAGTTTGCTGGTTCATGTAATGTATGTAAGCAAATAACAAGTTAAAAATCAATTTATTAAAAATGTTTTGTACAACTTCAACTTCAAAGACCTGCTTCAGTCTGAGAATTGTAGTCCCTTTGAAAAGGTAACAGAGAAAAATCTACATAGGATTTTGTAGTTTTAGAAGAGGTAGCTGTGGTAGTCTGTGCAAGCATATCAGACAAAATCCAAAGAAACAAAACAAAAGAAGAAAATGACAAAAACATATGGTACCTTAAAGGCTAACTATTATATTTTAATGTGAGCTTTTGTGGATCACATCCAATTCTTCAGTCTTATGGGGGAAATGAAATACAGAAATCACAAGGTAAAAAAAAATTCAAAACATTCATTGTCAAGAATCTTGGGCATGTGGTTATATTTCACATGCAATAATGTATGACCTATGTTTGGTATTAAGTTCCATTGTAAACATTCTCACAGCAGACCTGTGGGAATGTTTCTTAATCCAATGTCGGTTCTGAATGTTTCACTTGTGATTTCTGCATTTAATTCCCCCCATATGTCTGAAGAAGTGGATGTGACCCTTAAAATCTCACATTAAAATATAATAGTCTATAAGGTGCCACATTTTTTATCCTTTGTTTTGTTTTATTTCTTTGGATTTTGTCTGAAAGGATTTTGTGACACCTTCATTACTGACCAGTTTTATTGTACCAAATGAAACTTGATTAGTGGGTTGCAGTCCATTTTGCTGCTATTAATGAATAATACAGCTTCCACTCTGGAAATAGTTGTTCCAAAGGTTTTGGTTTTTTGCTATGTAATTGCTGTCATAACTCTTGCTTTGATTTTTAGTTTCATTTAAGTAGTGTTATGCTATTCATTTACATTTTGAAACTGGAAGGCTAGTATAGTGAAGAATATGAGACTGAAGACAATTGTTAGTCCCAGCCATTCAGCAGAACATCTATTCAATGAATGGGACTGTGTATTA